CATTGGTCGGTATAAACTTGGTAGGGATTTTGAACCGGGGGTGTGCATAATATATTTCACTGCCTTGTGAACGTCACCGTGCTCGGCTTCTTGGGAAGTCATGGACCCAGTAAACTGCATGACCGAATACTGGACCATGACCGGCAAAGAAAAGCCGAGGTAATGTTTGAGCAACTTGGCAAATAAAACCTGAGTGAAGACGAAACTCGGCCGTATAGTGTCAACTGGATGGGACCAGGTTGGGCTGATCCACGCTGCATGGGATTCAAAGCTCTTCAGCAGACCCATGACACATGAGCCCATTCCATGAAGAGACGGGTTGACCCAGGATCCAAGGCATATTTAATTCATGGGGTACTAGCTGACTGACCATGTCACCGTGCTCGGCTTCTTGGTAGGTGATGGACCCGACCCAGTAAACTGCATGATGACCGGCAATGAAAAGCCGAGGTAAACTTGGCAAATAAAAATGAGACGGCTGTGGGCTGATCCACAATGCATGGGATTTAGAGCTCTTCAGCTGACCCATGACACATGTTGAGCCCAATCCATGAAGAGATCGGTTGACCCAGGATCCAAGGCATTTTTAGCTATGTCAATTCATGGGGTACACTTCTCAGCCGATGCACAGTACCAGTCCTAAGAGAGTCTTGATGGCCGGTCCACCTTTGATGGGGTCAACTGATCCATGGGCTCATCAGCAGGCACCATCAACTATGGTCTGTTTGTATGGTCGGGGGGCTCAGTATTACACTGCAAACATTCCAACATACTGACGTGAGAATATTTTGAGAGTATTTTGATGGTACATAAAATTTTCCCAAAATACCATCCACCAGGTATGTGATTGGTATGAAGATATATATTTTATTACCCACACTGAAGTATCTGATTAGTATTTTGATTGTATTCAAATGTTTTTCCTCAATACTGGCTCACATACTAGAATAATACTTCTATCACAGTATCTTAACTTTGAACAAAATATCTTCAACATACTGATTGACCAATATTTTAAGAGTATGATTCTTCAGGATAAGATACTTTGAAAATATTATATATTATATTCAAAAGATACTTGTATGATACTAGAGAGTAGATATAAAGGGAATATCTTGAAAGTATGAAAATATATCACATTTTTATATTGAATACTAACATGATATTAAGCAGATACTCATTAAAGATGACCAACATACTGAGATGCCAGTATTGTGCTAGTATCAAGAAGAAACAAACAATACCATCTGACAGGTATTTTGTTGGTATGGAAAAAATATGAGAGTGAAATATCTATATACTATTCAAATATTGCAGGCAGAGTATCCAAATAGTATGCTACAATATTTTATCATACTGTTGAAAGCTACATT